TGTATATATATATATATATATATATATATATATATGTACATGCATATATATCATATTTGTATTCAAACTGCGCGCCGAATTTTCCGGACTCAAACGCAATTAAATTATTGGAGTAATATCACAAATTAAATTAAAAGTAGTGGAGTAATATCACAAATTAAATTGACAAGCAAATTTTTAATAATTTTGATATTCAATCCAGTCATCATCATATCATATTATATATTATTGGGAGTACAAATAAGTTTCCGCCGTTTGCAAAAGACGGCGCCACTAATAAACTATAGTTAAAATTATTTGATGTAAAACGACATATCGCAAGATTGGACATCCGGCAACATCATAACCTTGAAATATTAGCGATTTTGTATCAGCATCATATATTTTTTTTTGTACGAAAATGTCGAATTTTGAGCCGAATAAGCGTCATTTGCGGGAACTTTTGATTTACTTCTTTAATTTGAAGAAATCTGCAGCTGAGGCTCATAGATTGCTTGTAGAAGCATATGGTGATGCTGCCTTAAGTGAGAGAAGTTGTCGTGAATGGTTTTAAAAGTTTAAGAACGGTGAATTTGACGAAAATAAAGAACGTAGCGGAAGGCCGAAAGTGTACGAAGACGCGGAATTGGAAGCATTATTGGATGAAGATTCGTGCCAAACGCAAAAAGAACTTGCACTTACATTAGGAGTGAATCAACAAACAATTTCATATCGTTTGAAATCATTGGGAATGATTCAAAAGCAAGGGAATTGGGTTCCATATGAACTGAAGCCGAGAAACGTTGAATGCCGATTTTTCACATGTGAAATGCTGCTTGCCAGGCATAAACGAAAAGGTTTTTTGTATCGTACAGTCACTGGTGATGAAAAATAGATTCACTACGATAACCCAAGAAGAGGAAATCATGGGGACCATCTGGCCATGCTTCAACATCGACAGCCAAACCGAATATTTATTATGGAAAAAAACTCATGTTGTGTATTTGGTGGGATCAGCTTGGTGTCGTGTATTATGAGTTACTCAAACGAGACCATTACTGGGGCTCTCTACCGAACATAATTGATGAGATTGAGCCGAGCACTCAAGGAAAAACGCGCCCACTACTACTCCAGGCATGACAAAATTATTCTCCTGCATGATAATGCTCGACCACATGTTGCGGCGCCGGTCAAAACCTACTTAGAAACACTCACAACTCAACACTCAAATGGGAAGTTCTTTTCCCACCCGCTATATTCTCCAGACATTGCTCCTTCCGACTACCACTTGTTCCAATCGATGACGCATGGCCTGTCTGAGCAGCACTTTACATCATATGAAGATACCAAAAATTGTATGATGATTGGATAGCCTCAAAAGATGAAGCGTTCTTCTGACGCGATATCTACATGCTATCAGAAAAAGTAGTGGCGATGACCATTATTTTGAATAAAACATTATGTACCGTTCTTTCACAATAAATGCTTAATTTTTGATAAAAAACGGCGGAAACTTATTTGTACTCCCAATATATTTATAATAAATATAAATAACAAATAATATTATTATATTATTTATTTCATGCTCGATATCTATCAAAAATAAGGCCTGTCGAAATTCTAACTAATCTGCTCACTGAAAAATATTTCTAAAAGTAGATATACTTATAAAGTCACGTATTAATGTTTCCAAAAATATTAATTCTGAAAATAGATTGATCGAAGAATCTATCATTCGAAAAACTAATGTAAATAAACTAATATAAATGACCACCTATCGAATCTTATTGAATTAAAATAAAGATAAATATAAATTAGAACGAAATATTTTTTTCATTAAATTATTTAAATGACAGTAATAACACTCAATATAAATCTCAATCTTTCCTTGTATTCATATAATTAAACAAAGATAAACTTATCAGAAATTCTTTATGTAATTGCAAAACTGGAAAGAGAAAAAGCACACAATGCAATTGCAATTGTTTATATTTTTATAAATATGAAAAATTCTATATTAAAAACTGATGAACTATTAATACGAAATAAACCGTACTAAATACTACTGATGCTCATTAAGCAAAGTAATTTTAATACAATAACAAAAATAATTATTTGCTTGAAACGATTCACACAGCCTTAAATCTTTCTTTTTTTCAAATTCCCATTCCTTACCAGGAAATAATTATAAATGGAATTTAAGATTATTTTACTCATTCTTGCAATCAGGAACACAATACTTTTGAGTACAGTGATTATTTTTTTTACAAAAGTGTTAACTAATTAACAGATTAGTATATTTTGACAGCCAAATTTGAATTCAGAAGTTGCTCAAATGTAATGCTGTCTGTAGTATGCAACTAGTGTATAGTTCTGTGATATTTTTCACTTCATAGCATTTCTTTTACTTCATGATTTCATTTTAGCATTCAGGATCTCTTTCACCAATCTCAGTTGAATTAACCGATGATTATATGGGGCTCATTTAGGCTCAGTTTCACAACTCTCACAACTTATTTTAAGTTAAATCTCGATTAAAAGTTAACTATGAGTTATGAAACTGGGCCTAAATGAGTCCCATGTAATTATCAATTAACTTAACTGAGGTGAAAGAGACCCTAAGGAGAAGCCTCACGCAACAGGTAAAAAAAATCGATTTTTTAAATTAGTACTATATTTGAAAAATATGTTCGTAAAGTTTCAGATCAAAATTCGAACTTTTAATGATATCTTACATAGATTTATAAGACGGAACATTCTTACGAGAAAAGCTGAAGACAATATTGAAGGACAGCTCTATTTTAGACATAGTTGTTTCTCTCTTTCACAATGAGTAGTAGGGGAGGGGGAAAGTCAGTGGCCGAGAGTTGCGGTCTTACGCTCAAGCTGACCAATCAGCTTGAGTGTAAAGCCACAACTCTCGGACGTTTATTTTCGTTGCTCTCAGCCACTCCCCGGCCTGCTGCAGCGATCAATCAATCCACTACTAGAAAAGAAGAGAACTATTTCCGCGACTATTTCTTCTCGTACGAATGCTCTGTCTATCTCATAAGTCTATGCTTATACTTGCGTGTCACACAAACACATAAAGTTATGGCACAGAAAATGAAATATAACGAAAATATAACGAAACATAACAAGATGTAGTTGTGACGTGGGGTAAGATGGGATAAGACAGAGGAAAACGTAAAAGTCGCAGTCGTGACGGTTGGAAAAGTGTTTTGGTCTCCAAACAACTCGCAGGGAGCAACAATATAATTGAAAGATGTTTATGAGGAAACAGAAGGTTCACCCTCTATGGATCTGGAATAGCAGAATAGCTTAAAAAAAACTTAAGCATCTAAAAACAGCTTTCCTTACACAAACTTTAAATGTTTTTCTCAAAAACAAATTTTTCGAATTGGCATGTAGCACAATTTAAAAAATATTCAATTAATCGACTTCTCCCTGTGCATATATAAATAGATAACTAAATTTCCCTCTAGACAAACCTATTTGTTTGATGATATTATTAAATAATTATTATATTATTATTGCATTTTTAATTCACAAATATTTTGTGAACATCACAATATTTTTCCAAAGTCCCATTATTTTTTAATTTTGCATTTTTTACTTTAGAGATAAGTTTATCCATAGAATATTATAATAAAATTAAAATATTTCAGAATTTGGTTTCAGACAAATACAATAAGAGCTAACTATATACCAATGATGCTGAGGGCAATGGCTTATTTATTTTCAAATATATTACAATCAAAAAAATATTTTTTTTATATCTTGAAATATAATATATAATATAATATATATAAATATGAAAGCATACTAAAAGTTTCAAAAAGTTTTTTTACTAAATTGTTTTTTTAAAATTGTTTTTTTAAAAAAAATTCCCAGAAATCACTTTTTTTCAGTGTTACATCAGGCTCCTCCCTTAAGAACTATAAAAATTTTTAATTTAATAGATTCCTTCCAAATTATGTTAATAAAAATTACCTGGCATCAGTCAAGACAATTAAGTGTTCGCAACAACCTTGATGCTGATATACCCATGGAAAACCAAACTTTGTATAAAGAGAATTTATCAGAGCATCCATAGTGGCAACTTTAAATGGACCTATATCACGAACTGCTGCCCATTCTAATATAATATTACTATAATCAATGTTAGTTAGTAAACTAGTATCATTATAAAATGTATCTTCAATATAAAAAAATCCAGATTGGTAGACATCCTATAATAATAAATGCAATTGACTTTTATATACTGAATATTTCATCTTAATAGAAATTGTGAAGTATCTCGAAAACAAAACACTTTTATGAAAATAAGTTAAAATTTTTGAAATATGAGTTGAGAAAACTCAGGTATCATTAGCATTAACATTATACATTATGTCAACTGATGACAAAATCATTTTGAATTATTCAGGGTCATGAACTTGATAATATTTGTCAAGATCAAAATTATTAGAGGTTATTTTTATCTTGATTTGATAATTATTTAGAATAGTCCCCCCTCTCCCTAAAAAAAAATCTTTATAAAAATATACTCATTCAAAACGAAAAAATCTGGCAAAAAAAACGTGGCGATCAATTTAGTGAATCGAATTATTAAGCATTAAAATTAAGATTTTAAAGATTAAGATATTTGTTATTCCGATTCAATATAGCGCTATGTATATATTCTGCTTTAATTACACAAATTCACTGTTTCAAAAACACAAATTCACTGCTAATGTGAAGAATTTGTGTTTTTAAAGCAGTGAATTTGTGTTTGTGAAGCAGAAAATTTGTGTAATTAATGCAGAATTAATGTATACATTGCACTGTATCGAGTCAGGACAAATATCTTAGACTCTAAAATCTTAATAACTTGATTTAGACTAAGACCGACCGCCACATTTCTTTGCCAGATTCAGGGGCGATTCTTTTGTTTTGAATGAAAATAGTGGGAGGAGGGATTATTCTAAATAATCTTTGCTCTTTAATGATGAACTGTGACTTTTATATGAAACCTTTTTCTCAAAAATGCTTCGTTTATAAAATATTTCACTGTTCTATATATCTAATCTATAACAAATATATGGATTGTTATAAAATAGATATAATTCAACATTGAAAAAATGATTACTTTTGCCATCGATTCAGGCCTTTGATTTGAATTTTCACTAATTTCTTTTGTAATTGACAAGTCAGATTGACACATTATCTTTTGACGTAATTCATAAAGAGTTTGGCTTCCCAATATCGATATGACACTCTTAAGTTTAAGAACAGGTATACTTGTTCTATATTTAAGAGAACGAGGTTGGCTTTTAAATGGCTCATATATCCTGATATAAACTAGAAATTCTTCATATGGCTTTAAAGAATTATCACCAACAGATTTTGACTTGTCATATTTCTAGAAAGAAACACGTTATTATTTCAATGCTCTAGATTTGTCAATACTAATCATGCATATTAATCAAGGAAATCAATGCTTATAAAATTATCAATTATAATTCAATACAATTATAATTCAAGTAAATTTTAGTGAATCTTTTTATTATTCTATAGGTCTTAATAGTTCTTCAAAGTAATTACTTACAATAGGAATGCCATTTTGATTTCTAGGTTTTACTGAAGCTTGTTTAGATAAGATTTCTAATACTTTAATTGTTTCTAATGAAACATTATCTAAAATTCTTTTAGGTATATTAACATATCCTTGTTTTTCCTGTTCTTCCATAATGGCAGCTTCCACTGGTAATGTTAAATTATCGATACTATAAAATTGATTTTACAATATACAATTTACATATGAGCATTCATTTTATTAAGAAATATAAGTCATATTTATTATATGTCATAAAATAAAATACCTGCAATAATGTTTCATTAAAAGTATTCTCGCTTGTGAGAGATCGGTACCCATAAGTTGAAAAATCTTTTCTTCACTTTGTTTGTCAATTTCATAACACATAGATGACTTAATTAATTCACTGTATTGATGAAAATAATCTTTTATACAAATCTGTGATGATGCTTGACGATCGTAAAGCTTATATACCTGATCCATTGTCTCAAATAAATTTCAACTATAAGGATTGTGTTCCAAAATTCGTCGTAAAACCACATTTACATGGCGTCCTTTCTTAAGTATCTTCTACAAGAAAGAAGACTAAAGGTGCATTCACAAACATCAAGCAGCGACCAATTAGCGATATGGACAGTGGAGTAAGGTTGCCGTCCCGTGAGCGGAAATTTACAGCAGAACGAAACAGTAAGACCAATCACAATCGCAGAAAAGAAAGCTGAGTAATGACTACAGAGTTGTGATTGGTGTTCCATTCCGCTATAAACTTCTGCTCATGAGACGGCAGTCTAAAAAATATTTTTTTACGCCACTGTAAAAATCACCTCGTTGATTGGTTGCTGTTTCATTGCTTTACGCTTGCATGTACCTTAAGTCTAAGCTATTGTGGCTGCGTTCGGAAATATCACTCATTGGTGTATTTCGGTGTCTTCAATGGAGAAGTGAGGGTATCGTGTGCTTTTGGTGGTGTTCTCGAACGACTTCCGTGTGGCGTATGTCATCTCAATTTTACCTCACTGCTCACGTTTAACTCCAACCTTGAGCTAAAACAATTCATCGGCGAAAAAAGGCAGTGAAATGATCGTAAAGAGGAACGATGGCGGTATATGATTGTAAAAAAAGAAAGGAATGTAAGTCATTCCTTCCATGATTACCGATGCCTATTAAACATTTCACTATCGTATCGGATAATTATATGTTGCTGTATCCATTTTGGACAATGGTAAAATTTTTCATCGTGAAAATTTAAATTAATATAATGCTGATTCTATAATGAGTCGATAGTCTTATGAGCCTTCTACAATAAGCCATAGATCATAAATTATAAGTCATAAATACATAAGATATAAATCATAAGTAAAAATTTTCGTCAAATAAGGAAGTCGTTGTCGCCGTCAATGAGTATTTTGCAGACTGTGAGACAATCTACTTCAAACTACCAGACGTGAACTATGCGTCCTTTCTGGTTGAAATTTGGCCTGAAGGAGTTCGAAGAGTGAATCTTTCGAGATGTCGCGTCATCAAATGGATTGTAGCGCCATTTCATGGAAATTTACCAAACTTATCAAACAATTCATATATATAAATTATAAATATATAAGATATAAATTATAAGTTAGAATGAACCAATCACACTGATCAAGTTTTTCACTTCTGATTTATGACTTATGGCTCATTGACCTCATTATAGAAGATCTGTTAATCGATGAATTTGATCAATTAGTCTTACAAGTTGGTTATTGGTCAACTTTACCGACTAAGACTTCCGACTATCGACTTATTGTAGAATCAGCATAACAGATTTGACAACTAATCATATTCTCATTGTAATAGGTGTTATTATTATAAATCCTTAAAGAAAATTGACATCAGTGATATAAAACTTTAGATGCTGGATTATTTCATCGTCCAAATATCTATTAGTTCCTATGAGGCTTATTGTCGATTTTAGAACAGTTAGTTTTGTTCTAAATAGTACTGGACACATTCAATTTTACAAATTTACATTTATACAAATGATCTTGTATAATGTGCCTAAAATTATTATTGCGTATTATTAAAAGCAGAATAATATAAAAAGAAAGTTAGAAATAATATTATAAAATATAAATTATAAAAATAAATAAAAAAATAGTAAAACTTAGACAAATTTTCTAGATTAATATAATTGCTCAAAATTTTTTGACCCAAAAACGCGATGTAATTGTCCTTTTCTCCCATTCCATGAAAAAGAATTTCGATTGATCGATTCCTTTATACATTATGCATTATGCAAGTCTGTTCTGCGGCCATAACACACTGATTCACACCGACTCCCCTTGCTATTCGCTGGGTAGTTTAGTGATATGACTCTCTCGACGTTTCCGAACGATCTCACACTAATGCACACTGAGTACACACGAGTATTTCTGAATGGCTAGTGTGTATTAGTGGCACACCAGTGAGTGTTTCCGAACACAGCCTGTACCATATGGCCCGTATTCAAATCGCTTACAGCGATGTTAGCGCTAACATGCTATAATTTACGTTACGCATACTATAGAATTTTAGAGATAAGAGTGTTCTGAATACAGGCCTATGTGTATACATAGAGAAAAAATTTCTCGAAAAGACATCGTTTTGATGTCGAAAATAAAAATCGAAAGTTTTCGAAATTTCTATTGATTTCAATAGATTTTTGGTCCCAATTTCGATTAATTTTTGAATTGGAAATAAAATCTTGAATTGATCTAGTCAGCATAAAAATATATTGCTAATGTCACTAATGCAATAAGTAAATTCGACAAGTAGTGTCACTAATAGCGTAATAGTGGTAGAGAAAATTTCATTAAAATTTCATTGAAATTTTATTGTGAAAATAAATATTATTAATTAGCATCATATTTCAGAGGACAAAATTATAATAAAAATTTTTATGAATTCGAATTTTATGAATTATTTTATGAATTCGAGAACTAATTTTATGCACCCATGCGCGGTCACCCATCCGAACCTCTATTTACCATGTTTCATTTCTGTGATCGTATAGGAGCTACTCTTCGAAGAATCATGAATATCTATAATGCTAATAAATGTAGTTAAATGTTAACATATCTGTTCAAAAATGTTGTGAAAGAGACGGAACACATAAAAACGGAAAACATAAAAAAAATATAATTAATATAGTAGTAATGTACAAATAATGACACCTATGATAATAATAACTTGTTTTTAATAATACTGTAAAATATTATTTTTATTAATTGAAATAATATTAATTACTCTAATGAGATATATATATATATATTGGGTGTTGGGAAATAATTGCCAAATATTTCATGGGCAGGTAGAGCGGACTAAATTGAGTCGAAAAGTCCTCCATTTTGTAAATTTCCCCAATAATTAATGAGATATTAATCCTTAAAGATAGTCGAATACGCGCGTTCACCCGGTCTACAGTGAAGTGTATATATCTACCGATCGCTTGGCGCGCAGGCCGGGAATTGGAAATTAGCTGGCAAGCGCTCCGCGCCGCGCATACCGCTGCAAGTCACCATAGCTCGGACGGTGCGCTTGCCAGACTATCCCCATTCCTCACGGCTGGCCGAGCGATCGGTAGGCGTATACACTTCGCAGTAGTGTTATATATTATATATATGTGTGTATTTTTTACTTTAATAAATTTTTTATACCAAATATTATAATTAATGGAAGTTCTATGTTACGTCATATGTTGTCATATATTACTACAGTAGTAACACTACTGACTCAGCATTGACACTATTGCATATCTGTAGTAACTACTACTGCAGTACAGACACTAGTAGTATTGTTATACTTCCAAATGATATTGGAAACTTGTATGATAAACCAACATTTAAATTTCATTAATTTAAAAATCGAAATTGTTTCGATATCGATTCGAAGCTAGAATCTAGCTAGACTTTGAGAATATTAACTTTGATGATATTTTTCTTTGATTTCTTGCTCATTTTTATGAGACAGCTAATAGGTTGTCAGCACTATGATAAGAAACATTATTCCTTGAAATTCCTCAATACAAAAGTAATAAGATTAAACTACAAAGTACAAATAAAAGTAATGTTATTCAGCAGGAGTAGAATAATAAAATAATATACAAAGAATTACTAGAAGAAAAGATGTAGACTTTATCGACACTTGTAAAAAATGTTCCGATTCGTATAAAAAAATTCCAATTTTCTAAAAAGTTATAAAATTATTTATAAATTCTGAAAAATTTTGAGAAAGTTTTTATAATTAGAGCGATATTACAATTATTGAAATGAAATCGAAAAAAATGTCAATTCGATCTTTAAACGAAAATATTCAAAATATAAGATTACGTATCACATATTTATACTAAAAATATTTATATTAAAACTGTATCAAACTCTCATTGCACTCTCTACATAATTTTTTATCACTCGAAAATATTGAAATTTCAAGTTTCGAATCTTTTCCATTGTAACGATGTCGAAACGATGTCTTTTCGAGGAACTATTTCTGATTAGATAGCACGTCAGATTTTCGAAATAACTGAGATTTAATATGCAAAAATGGCTCTTTTGTTTAAAATGTTCTTATAAGAAACCGATTAACGAAATTGTAATCAGAAGTCATGAATGTATTGTTCATCCTCTACAAAATGTATGTTTTTTATCTTAATATTTTACTTTTTAGTCACATTATGAAG